TGCGTACATGGCACGTGCTTGCTCAGAGCCAGGTGCTCACTGGGAGTACACACAGTGTGGAACAAAGCAGACAGCGCCCTAGTCCTTGAGCACTTTCCAATCTAATGGGAAACATGGAAGTAAGCAAACATCTGAATAATTCAACAAGTAATCTGTCACACTCACAGTGCCAGCACTCTCTTCCTAAGCGCAGAGCTTAAACAACCCTGACGTAGGTAGGTTTGCACCTCTTTCAACCTTCACCACCAATCCATGAGCCCGATCCTCCTTCACGAGGACTTGACAATCCATCACTTCCCTTCATCAATGCCACCAAGTTCGTGTGGGTTTGCGACCCACCCAGCCTGATCCAGGGTCCTAACCGGCCCTCCTGTTGTCCACTGACCCCACCTCGCACATCCCTATCAAGTCCCATCAAGCCGGGCTCTTGGTGGGGCAGTCCCGTGCGGCACTGCCAGTCTTGAGCCCTGGCTACGCGGCCTGAGATCCGACTCTGTGTCGGTGCCCGCGGGGAGGCAGCGGCTGAGGACAGACGCACCTAGGCCCCCGCCACCCACGCGGGAGTTCTGGATGGAGTTTCTGGCCGCTGGCTTCAGCCTGGCCCAGACCCAGCTGTTTCAGCCATTTGGGCAACTGATCCAGCGGATAACAGACCTCCCGTTCTGTCTCGTCTTTCTCTCTGATGCTTTGCCTTTCAATAAATAAATCTTTAAAAAAGAATCATCATCATGGACTACTTATGCCACAATGGGTTTGCCTGGTGCCACCGTGTAAATTCTGCAAGCCCTTGTCCTCTACATACCTTGCCCCTCCCTGGGTGTTCAGCGAGGCTCCCCCAGTCCATCTGAACGAAGCATGCTCTCCAGCAACTAGAATCCCCGCACTCTCCCCAGCTAGAGCTGACCGCTCTGACTCCTAGGGTCCCGAGCCCTCACTCAGTTGCCGCCTGATCCCTTGTGGTGATGTGTGTTTCCTACGGCTCCCACTGCAGGGTAAGATCCCTAATGGCGAAGCGTCCTTGCCCAGTGATGAGTGAGGTGTGCTGCCACCCTTGCCATCACGGAGAACGTGATGTTCAGTAACTCAGGCACAGCTCCAAGCAGCTCTTACTACCCTCCGAGCTCCGCGGAAGCGCTAAGGCCACCGAGGCCAAGAACAACATCAAAGGGCATGCATCCGGGGGTGCCAAACTATTAATTCAGTAAAGGCGCCAGGCGCGGGGGCACAGACCTGCTCCAGGAGGTAGATGAGTTGGTCTCGGGCCAGCCTCTTGAGCATGGAGAAGTCAGGCAGCTCAGGGGCGTCCGCCGATGGGAAAGGCCATGGCAGCGGCCACCTGGGCTGCCCTTCCTACTGAGACGGCGGTCAGAGACACAGCCCAGGGAAGAGCAGGGTGGCTACCCACAGGCCCGACGTGCACGCCCTCTGCCCAAGCACTCCAGGAAGGAATGGCCACCTCCCGGGCTCACAGCCGCAGCCTCGGGGACCCTCGTCTCAGACCTGCAGCCACAGTGTCCCGCCGGATGCACTCTGCAGGTAGCAGGGTTCAGTCTGTGCGCCTGCAGCCCGCGGCGTGCGGGACAACCCCGCCTCCCGCCGGAGACAGGCGACTTCCTGGATCTCCCGGAAGTCCCTTTGACGGACTCAGCGCTGGGCATGCCGGGAAGGGACGGCGTGCCGAAAGGTACATTCGAAAAAGCGGAGGCACTAACGGACTCTTCCATCGAGTTCCTGGCGCAGGAAATTTTCCTAGGATGAAGTGATTATACTCGAGATAATTTTTTAAGGCTCCTGGCTCCCTAAAGCTGGGGCCCTTGCTCGGTTTTCAACACTCCGTAGAATGGGCGAAACCGACGCAGTCTGGAAGGTGCCGATCGCTGAGGTCTTCGCTGTCAATCAAACTGAGCCGCGGGCGGGGATCTCTGGCTTCAGAGACGGGGACGGAGGAGGAAGCTTACTCCCGCCGGCTGCGTGGCCCTCTGAAGTGGGAGCTTGACTCGTCCAATGCCCATTGTGGGAAAATGGAGAGACTGCAGCAGACTCAATAAAACAAGCCAGCTGGGAAGCTAGGGAAAACTAACCTGGGGCGAAATGATTTTCAGAGAAGTGATCGCCTTAGGGATGGGGACTGAGAAGTAAATATAGGGTAATGGCAGACCCGTACCTATCTTGAAAAGAAAGAAAGAAAGCTGATGGGGCCGCCGCTGTGGCGTGGCAGGTAAAGCCTCCGCCTGCAGTCTCGCTGCTCTACTTCCGATCCAGCTCTCTGCTATGGCTGGGAAAGCAGTGGAAGATGGCCCAAGTCCTTGGGCCCCTGCACCCGCGTGTGAGACCCGAAGAAGCTCCTGGCTGCTGGCTTAGGATCAGCACAGCTCTGGCCATTGCGGCCAATTGGAGAGGTGAACCAGCGGATAGAGGATCTCTCTCTCTCTCTCTCTTTCCTCTGCCTCTTCTCTGTGTAACCTTTCAAATAAATAAATAAATCTAAAAAAAAAAAAAAAAAGGCTATGAAGACAGGCGGGGAGCAGCCTGGCAATGCCTGAACTGCTCGGTCACACCATCACACGGGTGTGGGCGGAGCACCAGCCCCTAGGGCCGCCTTTAAGACATCACAGAAATGAAGTCAGCTGTAATCTAAGATACAAGAAATCACTCATCCTCCCCAAAAAGTAAGTGGCAAGGGGAAAATGTGCAGGGCAAACCACTTGAGAGTAAAAGATGCTCAGGGGACATTGCAACAAGATGTAACGTTGCAGTGTGTGAGCCCAAGAAACCAAGTGTAAAAGTAGCTTCCGGAACAAGGAGAGCCCACGGTCAGGCTATCAGCTGGTGTTAAGGAGCTACCAAAACTCTCCAGGTCTAATAATGGTTTGTACGTTGATATTAAAAAGGAAAATAAGAGGTCGGTGCTGTGGCGTAGCAGGTAAAGCCACCACCTGCTTTGCTCCTGGCTTCGGTTTGCAGCCATGTGGGGAGTGAACCAGCAGATGGAAGAGCTCTCTCTCTGCCTCTCAAACAGTTAAATAAATCTAAAAAAAAAAAAAAAAAAAAAAGACTCCTTTATCTCTTGGAAGTACATACTTACACAGATGAAATAAAACGGTATCTGGGATTGCTCTAAAATTACCTAGAGAGAGAAGTAGGGCAAGTATATGGGTAATAAATGAAAAGATGGACCACTTTTTTAATATTTCAATTTGATAATTATTATTATTTTTCTGACAGGCAGAGTGGACAGTGAGAGAGAAAGACAGAGGAGAAAGGTCTTCCTTCCATTGGTTCACCCCCCACTGGCCGCTGCGGCCGGCGCACCGCGCTGATCCGAAGGCAGGAGCCAGGTGCTTCTCCTGGTCTCCCATGGGGTGCAGGGCCCTCCACTGCACTCCCTGGCCACAGCAGAGAGCTGGCCTGGAAGAGGAGCAACTGGGACAGAATCTGGTGCTCCGACCGAGACTAGAACCCGCGGTGCCGGTGCCTAGAGGATTAGCCTATTGAGCCGTGGTGCCGGCCAATAATTATTTTTTAAAGATTTATTTATTTGAATGTCAGAGTTACACAAAATGACAGAGAGATCTTCCATCCTCTCATTCACTCTCCGGACCTGCGCTGATCCTAAGTCAGGAGCCAGGAGCTTCTTCCTGGTCTCCCATGCAGGTACAGGGGCCCAAGCATTTGGGCCGTCTTCTACTGCTTTCCTAGGCCACAGCAGAGAGCTGGACTGGAATAGAGCAGCGAGGACTCGAACTGGTGCCCACATGGGATGCTGGCACTGCGAGGGCAGCTTTACCCACTACGGCACAGCACCGGCCCCAAGGAGAACCACTTGTTGAAGCTGGGTGATGGGTACACAGTTCAGTGCACCATAACATTCTACTTTTGTGTTTGAAAAGTTCTATGCTACAAGGTTCAACAAAAAGCAAACCTTCTCCTCTCACAATGGGCTTCAAAGATTCACCTAGGATTTTATGCTGAGCCCCTCTCCCTCCCCCTTAGTGGGCTTGACTCTTGGCTGAGAGCAAGGCAGACTGGGTAGACGGTAGATTTCACTCTGACACCCCCCTGAAGCACACGAGCGAAGCATGAGCCCACGGGACACAGGGACACAAGTCCTCTCCACTGTGGTTTGCCAGCCTCTCCAGCGGGGCCCCAACACCGCTGTGAGGCGCTGCCGTGGAGCCTCGTCACCTGGGCCCCCAAAGTGCAGCTCCACCTCACCCAGTGCGGTGCTGATGTTCACCGTGTCCCCACACTGGAGTGCCTGGGGACAGGACCTATGGACTCTCACGACCCCAACCCAGTGGAACAAACAGAAACTGCCTCCCATACCATATTCCAGCCTCCCAGACGGAAGTTCTGTCCCTCTGCCTTTCAACTAAATCCTTAAAAAGAAAAAAAAGAGTGGCACAGCCGTTTTAAGTCGCTGCTTGCAATGCCAACATCCTACAATGCAGGGCCGGTTTGCATCCCAAGCACTCTGCTTCAGATCCAGCTCCCTGCTAATGCACCCAAGAAAGCAGAGGAAGATGGCTCAAGTACTTGAGCCCTAGCAACCTGTGTGGCACTTGGAGTAAGTTACTGGCTACTTGCTTCGGCCTGGCCCAGCCTGGGCTGTTGCTGCCATTAGGGGAGTGAGCCAGCAGATGGAAGATCTCTGGTTGTCCTGCCTTTCACACGCCAGGAAGGTAGCAGATAATGGCTCAAGTCCTTGGGTTCCTGCCACCTGCGCGGAGCTCTGGCTTTCTCCCTTTCACTTGGCCCAGCCCACTGTTACGGAGCCGGCAGATGGCTGATCTCTCAAATCCTTTCTCACAGATATCCTTAAAAAGGCAAACCACCACCAAAAGTACCCCACCCTCACCAAGCAGGGTGCTCTACAGAGCCCCCTCCTGGGGATTTCTCTCAGCCCAGCTGTCTCCCCATGGAATCCATCCCCCTCCTTTCCCATTTCCTGCTCTCCAAGGTTCAGAAACCTCACACCCCAGAGACCACGAGGCAACACAGACTGCTACGTTTTCACTTTATTTTTCTACACGTAAGGAAATAACCAATTGACCGGGCAGTTCCAGAACTGCTAGTGTTCACTCATCGACAAGGAAATGAGGTCAGAAGGCAAACTTTTCACCTCCTCCCTAATGTATATTGCACAAGAATCACAGAAGCTCCTAACACATGCAACACTGGCTTGCAACACAGAGCCCGGGCAAGAAGGGCGAGCATGGAGATTCACAGGGGGCGGACGGCGCAGTGCTCCGGACAGCTTCCCTCTACCCAGGCAGCTGCGGCTTCCACCGCCCACTTCCTCCATCGCAAGGTGCTGACCCACACGCAGAAAGCCAGGCAGTTCTGAAAACACCGGCCCACCTGTGCTTCACAAGGCAGACCCCGCTCAGATTCTGTACAGGAAGTTCCCATTGCTGTCAAAGAACTCCCGCCCCCTCTGCACTACTTTGCTGCTGAAGTTCTGGGCACCAGCTCCCCCCGCCTTCAAGTCTTCCAGCTTCCCGTCACTCGACGGCTGGCTCCCCTTTCTTCTGGGCCGCGTGCAGTCCCGAGTGGGGGACTTCGGAAGCTCCCTCTGCCGAGCCCAGGCTGCAGCTTCAGGCACCAAGCCCTCCTCCTGCGGGCCCTGGGGTCCTGGATTCCTTCCTTTTTGTCTCCTTGGTGAACCTGCACCAGGCGTGTTTGCGACTGCTCTCAGAGCTGTGCTGGGACTCTGACCTTTGGATGAGGCTTCATCTCCTGGCACCAGCAAAGCCCCTGACACAGAGTGGCCTGCAGGGAGCCGCGGCGGTGCGTGGGCGAGCCCAACTCGCTCAAGGACTTTCTGATCCTGCTTCAGTTTCTGTTCCAAGGAGGGTACAAATTTGCTTTTTAAAACCCTTCGGATCACATCAGTGCTGACATCAAAGCCTTCAGCCAACCTGGGAACTGACCAGGTCTCTGCAAACTCCTTATGCAGATACCTGTGGAAAAAAGGAGGTTTTCAAGTTGAGTGTCCTATTAGAATAGCTCTCGATAAGATTAGTGAGAAGCAAAAGGAGGGCTTGGGGGAACTACAGGTATTAGCACACTCTGTGCCAGTTAAATGGCTGTGTTCCATTCCCGCGTGCCATCAGCAACATCGCACCCCTCGTGGTGTCAGCTCAACACCTCCCACTGCTGTCTAACACCCACCTTAGATCCTGGGACGAAGGACTCCCCTTCCTTCCAGGGGCACACAGTTTAACACAGATGGCTGCATGGTGACTATTAGGCTGCAGGGAGAACACCAAAAGGGAAACCCAGGGGTGGGCAACCAAGTCACCAACAAACAGCCCGGACTAGGCCCTCATCAAGAAGTCCAAGCTAAAGCTGGTCTGCAGGGTTGAAAAGCAGTCATGTCAAGAGAGGGGAGGGGTGAGGAGGGAGGACAGCACGTGAAACGCCGATCAGCAGCTCTGCTGGGACTCGGCTCAAAGGCCAGGCAGGGGCAAGATCACCTTGCATTTAGGTGACGTGAGCCAGGGAAGGATTTCAGGCGGTGCAACCTCATGAGTAGCTTTCTATTCTCAAGCTCTCTCAGTGGTCGATTTACAGATCTCTGTCTCTCCCTCTCTCTGTACCTCTCCCTTTCAAATAAATAAATGAAATCTAAAATAAATGAATACACACACACACATATTTCCATCTGAAAGGCAGAGTCACAAAGAGGACAGAGTTAGTGAGAGAGACCTTCTGTAAGCTGTTTCACTCCCCAGATGGCTGCTTCTTCCAGGTGTCCCCTGTGAGCGCAGGGGCTCAAGGACTGGGGCCGTCAGCCGCTGCTTTCCCAGGTGCACCAGCAGGGAGCTGGATTAGAAGTGGAGCAGCCAGGTCTCCAATCCATGCCCAGACGGGATGCTGGCATGGCAGGCAGAGGCCCAACCTACTCCAGCTGGCCCCAAAGCAACTTATTTATAGTATGTTTCTTTTCATGAGCGAGACAGTGAAAATAATTCATATTTGGGGGGGCTGGCACTGTGGCATAGCAGGTTAAGCTGCTGCCTGTGGTGCTGGCATCCCATATGTGTGCTGGTTCAAGTCCCAGCTGCTCCACCTCCGATCTGGCTCACTGCTAATGCACCAGGGAAAGAAGCAGAGGATGGCCCTGGCCCTTGGGTCCCTGCACTCATGTGGGAGACCTGGGAGGGGCTCCTAGCGCGGGACTGGCCCAGCCCCAGTTGTTGTGGCCATTTGGGGAATGAACCAGTGGATGGAAGCTCTCTTTCTCCCTCTGTGGCTCTGCCTTTCAAATAAGTAAAATAAATTAAAAAAAAAAAAACACTTATATTCATATGTGATTGTATTTGCATAAAGAAATCTGGAAAAAGACACAAAAACTATTTAAAAAACTGTACCCATAGGCTTTTTTTTTTTTTTTTTTTTTGACATGCAGAGTGGACAGTGAGAGAGACAGACAGAGAGAAAGGTCTTCCTTTTACCCTTGGTTCACTCTCCAATGGCCGCTGCGCTGCAGCCGGCGCACCGTGCTGATCCAAAGCCAGGAGCCAGGTGCTTCTCCTGGTCTCCCATGGGGTGCAGGGCCCAAGCACTTGGGCCATCCTCCACTGCACTCCCGGGCCATAGCAGAGAGCTGGACTGGAAGAGGAGCAACCGGGACTAGAACCCGGTGTACCGGCACCACAGGTGGAGGATTAGCCTATTGAGCCGCGGCGCTGGCCACCCATAGGCTTTTCAGCCAGAACCCTCATCTTCAGTAACTCGCCAAGATGATGAACAGAAAGAGAAAGAGGAGAGGCACCCGATACGTGTTCTCCAGGCATCTGGAGAAAACACGGGGTTCTGCCTTTGCGCATTTACAAGAAAGGCGACAGCGCAGACATCAAGGGAACGGGAACTGTTCATAAAGGAGCGCCCCCTGGAGGCCACGGCGCCACCAGCAGAGTCGGCGGCATCACTCCGCTTGCGGTTGGCACTGGCCAGATTCCGGCCAGGAGAGTCCTTGTGCGCACTGAGCATAAGCACCCTAGGAGGCAAGAGGGCTTCCTGAAACGTGTGGAGGAAAACCATCAGAGCCAGGAGGAAGTCAGAGAGAGGCACCCGGTTCAACTGAGGCGCCAGCCGGCTCCACCCAGAAAAGCCCAGGTGGCACACGTGGGAAGGGGCCTGAGCCGTGAGAACCCACTCCCCACGAATTCACGGCATCACAGGTGTTTAAACACACCAAAAACTGTACCCACAGGAGACCAGCGGGACAAATAATGTTCACTGTTAGCACAACAACAACAAAAAAATTTTACAACTTAAAAACGAGCCCTTTAAAGATGCTCTAAAATAGATTCTCTCTTCAGGAAAATGCGCATTAACCACGTAACCAGGACTGGGAGCCCCATTAGGTTAAGAACACCACGGGTGACGGCATTGTGGCACAGAGGGTACAGCTGCCGCTGTGACACTCAGCACCCCGTATGGGCAATGGTTCACATCCCGGCTGCTCTTTTTTTTTTTTTTTTTTTTTTGACAGGCAGAGCTAGACAGTGAGAGACACAGAGAGAAACGTCTTCCTTCCGTTGGTTCACCCCCCAAATGGCCGCTGCGGCCGGCGTGCTGCACCGATCCGAAGGCAGGAGCCAGGTGCTTCTCCTGGTCTCCCATGGGGTGCAGGGCCCAAGCACCTGGGCCATCCTCCACTGCACTCCTGGACCACAGCAGAGCTGGCCTGGAAGAGGGGCAACTGGGACAGAATTCGGCGCCCCAACCGGGACTAAAACCCAGGGTGCCAGCACCGCAGGTGGAGGATTAGCCTAGTGAGCCGCGGCACCGGCCCTCCACTTCTGATCCATGATGGAAGATCTTGCTACCTCTCTCCCTCTATCTGTGTAACTGCAGTTACCAAAATCAAGAAAGAACATCAAGATCTACTATTCAGAAATTAAATGTTGAGGTGTTTGCAATCTACTATTTTAAAATTTCAGCAAAAATTTTGTGCTGTGACCAGCTGTGTTATGTTGAAAGTGACAACCAATTGTGTGATGTCAAAAATTGCTAAACCTAGATGCCAGGCTTATGGAACAACGCATTACTCTGTTTTCTGCCAGAAAACTTCAACAACAGAAAGAGAAGCGTGGGTGGGCACTATGGAGCCGGAGGTGCCGCCTGCAGGGCCTCAGTGGGTTCCGTCATGGCTGTTCCGCTGCCAATCAGGGTCCCCATGACCAGCTTCTAAGGCGAGAAGACGGCCCAAGTCCTGGGGTGCCCGCCGCCCACGTGGGAGCCCTGGCTGGAATTCTGAGATCCTGGCTCGGGCCTGGTCCAGCCATGCTGTCGAGGGCATCTGGGGACTCCATCAGCAGATGGAAGGTATCTTGCTGTCACTTTAATTTTTCCAAAAAAGAAAAAAAAATCCTATAAACAGACCCAGGGAGTCAAACCCGCGCTCGAGACCCTAGTTATCCTCCACCCGTCATCACGGCAAGGTCCCCCCAGCCTTACCGGATCTGCTCCATGGACTCCCACGTCAGGGTTCTGGGCGGGGCACCAGGCGCCTCCATTTGCCTCCGAATCTTCTGGAATCGGATTGCTTTTTTCTGTCGTTTCAGGGTGCTGGGGGAGAGAACCAGTGGCAGGAGCCACGCGTGGAAGCAAGGTGGGTTTTGAAGAGCCTGGCTCGGGGCTGAATCACGGGGCGGCCGGGCCGAGGGCGCCGGCGTGCTGCTGCTCCGTGCACCGCCCCCTGGAACCTAACATCTAGAACAGTAACTGCCCACAAGCAAGCCGAACTCTACACACACGATGAAATACGCCACGGGCGAGGAGACCGGCGGTCCCCAGGGAGCCGAACACACCTCCCCTGCGCCCTGACAAAGGGGAAGACGACACACGGGCCGCTGCGCACGCCACGGCAGGACGCCCGGCGCCAAGGGGGCGTGGCCTGGAGCGCCGGGGCGCCGAGAGCCCTGCTTCAAGCCGAGGGCCCGAGGAGGAGCTGGTACCTCTCCAGCTCCTGCAGCTCCCGCTCTTCAGGCTCCCAGTCGGAATCGGGGTCCGGCTCGCGGCCCACCGGGCCCGGGCCCGCCACGCCCCGGGTCGCGAACCCACAGCGAGAGACGGCAGCGCGGACACGCCCGCCCAGCCACAGGCTCAGGGTACCCGCCATGTCGAGGCACACGCAGCTTCTGCTCGCAGCACTGGACGCGGCAGCACCGGAAGCTGAAGGGCGGAACCGGAAGCGGAAGGCGTCCCGGGACCGGAAGTAGGGGAGGGTAGCCCGTCCATCCGGCTCGCGGGCCGGGGAGATCTGGGCTCTTGGTTGGTTGCGCCCCACCCTCGCCGCCTCTTAACAGTGGTGAGGGGTTTCCTAGAGGAAGGCGAGGGTCGAATTGAGGTACAGGACGCGCCTGGAAAACGACATAAACTTTAATAAAAAGATTCAATTGCCAAAAGCCGCCCCCTTTGCCCAGCCTGCCCAGGCCTGTCCCCACCACTGCGGCGGGAAGGGCGCCCCTTGGCCGGCTGCTGAGGCTACCCAAGCGCCGTGCGGTGGGCACTCGGCTCCTCCGGGGACGGGGCTCCTTGTCGCCTGGTTGATCTCCAGCCCCAGGCCGCACCCAGGGTTCGAACCCAGCGCCCAGCGAGTAAAGCACGGGCTAAGGCTTGACGAGCAGTGATGAGCGCGATGGCCAGCCGTGGCTCCCCTTCGCCGTTGAGTCTTCGTGGATCCCCGAGCAGTCTTAGGGCGTTGAGGAATTCTCGGTGTCTTTTGGCCTTACGCAGTCGAGGGTCCTGTGTCAAACTGGAACCCGGTGGCCGTCGTTCGTTGGGCAGATCGAAGGCCCTCTGCCGCTTGGGGCACCGCAGGGGCGTCTCCAGGAGAGGTCCGGTGCTGGGCTTTCCCTCCTGCGTTTACCTGTGCTGGGTGATGTTGAGGGCACCGGAACGCTGTGCGGGTGCAGAGGCGCGGCAGAGGGTGAGGCGCTTGGTCGCTATGTGTTCAGAATGTATCATGGAGGGCAAAGTGCATCCAGTCCATGATTCACTCGCCGCTCTCTCCGGTCGCAGAAGGTAGCCCTGCTTTGGGGTTAGGGGGGGCGGCACTGATCCCGTCAGGGTGCGGTTTATGGCTTCTAGCCTTCTGCTGGCTTGGCCTTCTGCAGTGGAAACATGGGCCCCTCAGAGCTGATACTTAGAGCTGTCCTCACCTCTTTCCCACCTGTGCTCCAGTCACCAGCACAGGGGAGCGGCTTCCCACGCTGGATGCCGCCCACCAGGTGTTACAGTTGGGATGTTTCCTTGTCCCGTTCCCTGTTAACCGGGGCTGAGATGCTGTAGCGCTACCATTTCTAGCACGGCAGGACCCGTGCATTACAAAGAGGGCAACACACCGGCCCTCTCCCCTCCCCCGCTCCCGGTACTGCTCTAAGTGCCGTATTGTCTCTTGGGAGCATCCCGTCGGCAGTAGTTGCTAGTGGGAATTGACACAGGTCGCAATGACCAAAGGCTAGTTTCCTATACTTACTGCCAGTGAGCCTGAATCTAGTGCTGGAAAAATAGTGCCTCCCGGATCTCTTCATTGACAAGAAACGGGAGCTGATGACTGCTGGGTCTCCTGTCCAGCTGAGGCTCTTGGACTGCAGGTGGCACCGGGGCTGGTGTGGAACCGCAGCGTCCACGTTTGTCAGCGGCCCTAAGATCCTAGGGATCAATTCCTGGGGCCGAACCAGGTGCAGGAGGTGAGGAGCGACCTGCCTCGCGGCAGGGCCTCTCAGGAGCATCAGTGGGACCAGATTCACCGTCTGTGGCTCCTGATTGCCCGGCCCGTCCTGGTGACATCTAGGCTGGAGGAGAAGAGCAGCCTCTTACCACATCTCTTGGGAGGCCAGGTGGAGTGTCGGAAGAAACGGGTCGCTGAAAAAAATCTCCTCTCGGCCATGGCCACTGCGTACCCAGTTACTCCTTTGGGGTTCAGCCAGAGACAACAGGACCCAAGAGGTTTGCCACCAGCCCGGGGAAGAGTGAGTGCAGCCAGACTGTTGACCCAAGACTGTTGACTTCTCTCCTTTTAGATCCGGGGCACTGGCAGTGCTTGGGAGAAAATGACTCAGAAGCCACCAAGGGAGGGGTGGTGGCCTTGCTGTCTGCCAGTCATTGGGTCTGGGGGGACTATAAGACCAAATATATAGAACAAGTCTCTGATAATTGAGAGGGTCAGGGACCATGCCTTGGTGGTTGTCACTCTCAAAAACGAGGGAGCCTGGGAACAGGTGAAACCAACAGACCCTCTCCCAGGCCCAGCCGCACTCTGCTTTCCCAGGCTCCGCTGATGGATACCATCACATAAACCTCCTCTGGTGCCACCACCACCATGTGTCGGTCCCACAGCCCTGCTTCCCTGGGTCTGGGGGAGGAAGCTTCGTAAGGACCCTCACCCGATACTCATGAGGCTTTTTCTGGCCCTGGTGACTGGGGTGCAGCATGCGGGTGAGCTGCTGTATGATACCCATGCTTCGGATAAGATTCTCCCTTTGTATCAGGGCCTTCAACCGCTCCAGCTCCTCCTCTTCCACAATATCTTGAGGTTGCATGGTGTCCAGGTGCACTGGGACCAGCTACAAGGTACAGCAGAGAGAAATGCAGGCTCTCCAAGGATGCGGCGCAGACACCCTCAGCCAGGAGCGCCGCGGGCCGCCTGCCTACCTGCCCTCCCTTCCCTCAGTCTATGCAAGGCTCCCTTTGCTGTCCATTCTCTCACCTTCCTGTCCCAAAAAGTCAGACTCACTGATTAGAAACTCCTCTCTCTCTCCCTCCTCTCTCTCTCCCTCTCTCTCATACAAGGGGAGGAGAAGACAGCATATTCCTTCCTCCAGGAGTCCCGACCCATTTGCCTGCAGGAAGGTAAGAGCCACAAAGCCCCCGACACCTCTCTCTCCTGGATCCGGTTCCTGTGGGCCAGGTGAGTGGCAGGGCCCCGGGGCCTCGGCCTGGCGCGGCTCCTCTCCCCGGCAGATTCGCCCTGGTTCTGGTCCTTGCTTTCCTTTCGCCGTCGAGCACCCGAGGTGTCCTGCTGTTCCTGCTTCAGGCGGATCTCTTCCAGCTGCTGCCTGACAAGACACAGCAGGCAGCTTCAGACACTGGAGAAAGCGTGTTGGGGAGAAGGGGGCTGAGGGAAAATGGGTGGGAAGAGGAGGAAGTTAGGCTCTGTTCTCTGGACGAAACAGCCAGCATCATTAAGAGACCGATTAAGAGACGGGCTGCAGCTCCTCTCCTGCTGCTGGCAAGCAGTGGGCTCCCCGGGTACAGAGGAGCACGCGGGACAAAGTACCTGGCACACTCCTCCCTGGCCTTGGAGGCTGCGGTCTCCTGGAAGAGGGAGCTGTTGTGTTTGAAGAAGGGAGCGTACTTCTCCATGTTGGGCCCAGGGTAGATGCGCCGGTATCCCCCAAGGTGGGAATCCTCGTAGCGCTGCTGGTCCAACATTGCCAAATGCGAGGACTCGACCTGTTCCCGCCTGGGGAAACCAAGCAGAGGGGAGACCAGGGGGGACCAGCTGAGGCTTCTAGAGCCTCCCACCAGCTGCTTGGCCACCCATGCCTCTGACCATGTGGGCAAAGCTGCCAGGCCTGTCTTTGGCAAACCCCACATGTATAGGCTTTTAGGTTTCTGATTAGAAAGGGTAATACAGGGGCCAGCATTGAGGTGCAGTGGGTTAAGCCACTCCCTGCAATGCCAACATCACATATGAGTGCTGGTTGGAGTCCTGCTGCTCTACTTCCGATCCAGCTCCCTGCTAATGCACCTGGCAAAGCAGCAGGAGATGGTTAGAGTACTTGGGTTCCTGCCACCCATGTGGGAGACCCAGATGACTCAAGTTCCAGACTCCTGCCTTTAGCCTGGAGCAGCCCTGTGTGTTGTGGCCATTTGGGGAGTGAACCAGCAGATGGAAGATCGCCCCCTCTCTCTCTGACTTTCAAATCAATAAAATAAATCTTTTTTAAATTTACTTGAGAGAAAGAGTTAGACAGTGAGAGAGACAGAGAGAAAGATCTTCCTTCTGTTGGTTCACCCCCCTAAATGGCTGCTACAGCTGGAGCTACGCCGATCCAAAGCCAGGAGCCAGGTGCTTCCTCCCAGTCTCCCCTGCAAGTGCAGGGCCCAAGCACTTGGGCCATCCTCCACTGCCTTCCCGGGCCACAGCAGAGAGCTGGCCTGGAAGAGGAGCAACCGGGACAGAATCTGGCATCCATATGGGATGCCGGTGCTGCAGGCAGAGGATTAACCAAGTGAGCCACGGCACTGGCGCAAAATAAATCTTTTTAAATTAAAGATAGTAATACATATTTACTACAGAAAATATAGAAGAGCAAAAAAAAAAAAAAAAAGATTTCAACCTCCCATGATCCCATGATCTTAATGTAATTAGTGTATTGGTTGTGTGCTAGGAGTTAGGGATGGACCTCCGGAGTTGAGATCCTGGTTTTGCCTCTCACTAGCTCATGTGTCTGCTCTCACTGCTCTCATTCTTGCTCTCTCTCTCTTTTATTTTATTTTATTTTTTTGATTTTTGACAGGCAGAGTGGACAGTGAGAGAGAGAGACAGAGAGAAAGGTCTTCCTTTGCCGTTGGTTCACCCTCCAATGGCCGCTACGGCCAGCGCACCGCGCTGATCTGAAGCCAGGAGCCAGGTGCTTCTCCTGGTCTCCCATGCAGGTGCAGGGCCCAAGCACTTGGGCCATCCTCCACTGCACTCCACAGCAGAGAGCTGGACTGGAAGAGGAGCAACTGGGACAGAATCTGGCGCCCCGACCAGGACTAGAACCCGGGGTGCCAGTGCCACAGGTGGAGGATTAGCCTAGTGAGCCGCGGGGCCGGCCCTTGCTCTTTCAAAATGGGGTCACACAGCAATATTTTTAAATGCCTGCCTAGTGTATAATTGTACTTCTGCCCATTTAGTCCAGTAGTTCCCAACCATCTGTCCTCACTTTTATATAAAAAATTTTGACTGGCCCTTTGCCGTGACGTAGTGGGGAAAGCCATCGCCTGCAGTGCCGGCATCCCATATGGGTGCCAGTTCTAGTGCCGGCTGCTCCTCTTCTGATCCAGCTCTCTGCTATGGCCTGGGAAAGCAGTAGAAGATGGCCCAAGTCCTTGGACCCCTGCACCTGCATGGGAGACCCAGAAGCTCCTGACTTCTGGTTTTGGCTTGGCTCAGCTC